AGGTACACCTAGCCCTACAGTTCCCCAGTAGAAACTATTCTAAGCTAGGAATCGTTGTAACTGTACGTTCGGCGAACAGCATCCACAGGGTACCAGAGGTACCCTCTGCTGATAGCTGCGCCCTGATATTTTAGGACAGTGGCGTTGCAACAGGATTTCATTATTACGATTCAGAAGGTACCGCTTTGGATATATAGGACATCGCTGGCACCACACATGCACGAGTCATTCAGTGTTCTGAAATTCATCGAAACCTTTTTAGCAGGTTTTGATGAGGACTTCTTGATGTTTGAGGATCTGGCGGACACGCCAGCGACGGGTTGCCACGCCCAAGAGGTGGACAGACCTCCGGCACCGACCGCTCTTGACGAAAGACTACCACCTATTGCTGAAGGGTCAGAAGCGGATTTGGAAGCATATATCATGGACACGTGGTGCGTTGAGCTCCAAGGGGAAGCGGAATTATACGAGACCCCCTTTTCATGGGAGTCCCTATTTTCGGTGCCCACCGAGATGGTCGCCGAAAACCACGCACTCGTGGCCGTGGCCAGCGAAGAGCACGGACTCTTGCGAGAAATAGGTTGTGCTTGGAATCGCGGTGCCGACGAAATGTCCCCAGCACCTTGGGCGATTCAATACGACGAGACCTGACCTCGACTCGGATGACCATGGCTGGTTTGTCAAGTTATGCCGTGCTGCTGACATGGCCAAGGTCGTTCTATCAGAGCAACAATACGAATCGCTATACAGCTACCAAGTAACCACAATACATGCATGTCTCGGCCGCAGCCAAAAAAAGCTGCAGTCGTCAAAGAAGACGACTTCTTGGCGAATGCAAACAAACCCGACACAGATATCTGCGGCCGTGTGCACCGAACAGAAAAGGCGGTATGATAACAAGGCATCAAGAACGCTACTGTTATCATGACCTCCAGATGTGTACCAGTGGAAGTTTGTCACGAACGATAAAGGCAACATGGAACGAACAATGCGACTACGCCCCGTTCTTCGCGGCTATATGGACGTCGAGGCATTCGACGTAGAAACCCTCTCAGCCACAGCTCGACGAGCAAGCTAGAGACTGCTCGCAAGAGCGGCCGCGTGCAGGAAACAGTGGATCATTGCATCCATGGACATCAACGAGGCTTCCTTGAAGGGTCTGGCTTACCTTGGGTTGGCAGGGCCCCCCGGTGAGAAAGAGCGCATGATGTGCTTCACTCTTCCACCTGTCTCAGCCTCGGTGCTACGTGCACTGCCCTGTCTTCAGTGCCGTGAACCAGGCGCAGGCACCAAGGGCGCCCCATCGGGCATTCTCACTGGAGCTCAGGACCATCGCGCGAGTTCACGGGCTGAAACCCACATCGCATGACGAAGAGTTCGAGACAATCCCAAACCTCCTGACGGCCAAGCACGTTGGCGACATCGACCTGGCAGGAGTGGAGGACACCATTGACGAGTGTGTCAAATGTGTAGAACGCACGTTCGGCGCATGTAAATTGAACAAAAACCGCTGCGCCAATTGCGCCGCGCGACGCGCTAAGTCCGAGGGCGGCCGCCCCCAGCTTGATCCGGATGAGCGCGTGAAGCAAGGTCGCCCGATGCAGCGCCCGGGACTTCCGGGTGCTGTGGCGGAAGAATAGGCAGCGAAGACAATACCCGACGCGTTCATCTGTGTACGCGGCGCTTTGGCATATGCATTGATCACTCAAACGACGTTAATGGTTTGCGTTGTATCCATGCAGCGTGCGCAGGAGCCCGCGAACCTCCAAGTGCGAAGACCTGGCGCTGCCGCGCGCAAGCTGCAACGTGGTCCGAAGAAAATATCACGCCAACGCATGGCTCCGACAGGAGAGGTGGACCTTCATAGCGACTCAGGATATCGCAGCCTCAACGGGGACGAAGATGACGATGTAAAGGGGCATGGCATCCAACCGTTTGCTGCGTGGACACGCGCCCAACTGTGGAGCAGTCACACATCTGATTGATGCGCACTGCAAGTCACATCGCTTGCAGGTGCGACCCAGACTCAGCTGACGGCCGCCCATAATCTTGAGAACCAGTATCCTGCTGCAGTTGCGCTGCGCGAGCTTTAAGATGGACCACATAAAACCCGCGCAGCTTAAGACAATTCCGGAGTTAGGTGGTCTCAGTATTAGTGCCATCCTTACCATGGGCGTCGCGTCGGACTTCGCATCTTTGCCAAGTAAGGACTGGAAGAAACCGACCGAACGTACCCTGGTGGGACATGCTAGCTGGATCAGACAGACAGACAGATGATGGACCGAGGTATAGGTCACAGCGCACAGCTGTGTGATGCACGAGATAAGACCGTTGACGGCCATGCCGAGGGGCGCATCGATCGCGCGTTACTGCTGCAATTGATGGAAGGAAATCAGCCCTTCAGGCACGAAGCTAAGCCGCGCGCGCCTTACAGAGGCAAGAAAGGCACAGCACCGACATAGGGGCGCCCTATTCAGGGCCAGCGGGCGCCCATGAGGACGACTACCCAAATTTGGACGCGCAGTTATCCTTACCGGGACAGGCGTGTACGCCCACACTGTAGTCACTTTCGCCTGGACAGGCATAAGTATTCAAAGCGTCATAGCTACCCTGAGTGCCCAGACACGGGCATTAACCCTCTTACTTCAAGAGGGGATCTGACCACTTTGTCATATCCCCTCGCCCACTGCACGCTTTGATGGCCGGCATTTGGCCAGTCGCCCCCTCCTCTAATTATCTGCGGGTGGTCGCGCGGACTTGCCCGTGGCCCCCCCTAATCATCTGTGACTGGTCGCGGCAATGGGCTGCGGCCGGTCCTAATGTTTCGCATTGTTTTTGCCGCGGTTGCCTTTGCATTGTTGGGGGCGCTGGAAAAATCTTTTTTTTTCTGTTTTCTTTCATTTGGAGCAAAGAACTGGGACAAAGATCTTGCGTTCGGCCCTTTCCCTCCCAACTTTAACAGCGTTGTCCTATTTGCTTGTTGCACCGCCGCGCGTGATTCTACTGGGATCATAGCATCGGACGAAGGCCACGTCCATCGGTGACCCACCCCTTTATCCCATGGTGCTTCTCTTACCTCTCGTCATGCTCGCCATCAAGGGATGAATTGCGGGGTGCTTCGATGCGTCGCCGACACTTGCTAAAGAGTAGGGTCCGCAGCTCATCACCTCATGGACAAACCCTGCACCCTTACTTTTCACTGCCACTTGGTGCCGTCTTGGAGCGGTATTGGGGCCCCTGGAGCATTTTGGAAGCCATCTTGGGGAATCTTAGGCTATATTGAGCCACCTTGGAGGCCATATTGGGCTCTCCGAGGCGCTGTTGGAACCATGTTGGGCCATCTTGGACGCTCCGCCCCCCCCCCCCCCCCCCCCCCCCCCCAGCCCAGGTTTGGGAGGTGGCAGGGGGGGGGGACCTCTCCCCGAAGGGGAAGAGGGGGACTGGAAGAGGAAACTCCCTAGACCACCTACGCCGCAAAGGTCTGGTGGGATTGCGATGGGGACTGCCATTAATGAGATGGCGAGGCCAATATGTATCATGCATGCGGATGCGAGACACCAAACGATTAACCGATAGAGTTCCCTAATTTTGTCAGTTCGTGGCCAGTATGAGAGCCGCCCCAAGGTTTCCATCCGTGCCCGAAACTACGAGAAGGCGAGGAGTTCATTTGCACATATTATGTTCATTCGTCGGGGGATTTCTGAGGACGGCTTATGGGAGTTCCTGGGAAGTATATGGGAGGAGACAACGGCTTTTATATATATACACGTATTCGTATACAGACGTGTGTGTCGATGCGTGTGCGTGCGTGCGCGTGTCATTCCAGTGTTCGGAATCTCGTCCACTGTGCTTTCGGCCACGTCCGGTCGCAATTCGCATGTCGATTTGCCGCCAGCGCTTGCGGATATTTTTCGCCGCAAGCATGCGTGTGTGTGTGTGTGTGTGTGTCTTTGCTTCAGGGGCTTCGCGCCATCGTCGAGGTTCGTGAAGGAGGTTGTTTTGGCCTCTTGGGGGGTGTCTTCGGCCATCCTGGACCGCTTTGGGGCCATTGGTTTTTGTTCGGAACCATTTTGCGGCCAGCCACTGATTGATTCCCCGCTTTCATGTTGTAATTGTTACTAGATGGGTTGCACTTACAGCTGTGTTGGGCGATGCTGGAACCATCTGGGCGTTTCGGAAGCACATCGAGTTCGATAGTCCGTTAAAGCCAAACTCGTCATAATCAAACACATAGTTGTTCATGCTTTAGATTTCTTGTGGTCCTCTTGTGAGCATATTGGGTACTGACTGAGGCAAGGTTGGCGACCAATCGGAACCATCATCAGGATCTGGTTTGCTTCTGGGTAAACTCAGGGCCTCTCACCTGTTAATCCCCGCGCCCTCTTGAAGTTATTCTCATCTGCGCATGGAGCCATATTGGAAGATATCGGAGCCACTTTGAGGTCTCAACAGCTCACTGGAAGGGATGAGTCGAGGATGTCAAGGGCATGAATACATGCTCATGTGTTAAGTATTTTTGGCATCGTTGATCAACTTCGGGGCCAATGGGGGGCTCTTTCTTTTCGTCCCGGGCCACGTGGGGATTCCTGGTTCTGTTGGGTGCCTCTCGGCGCGGTCTTGGGTGTGCCTGGCGCCATCTTGAAGCTCTTGTCGGCTGCATGTGGAGCTATATTGGACGATCGTGGAGTCGCCTTGACGCCTCGGAAGCCCCGTGGAAGCGAACGTGCGAAAGCGAACATCAATACAACAAGTATATTTGAGGGAATTTCACGGCCTGGGCGAACTAGACACATTCACATATTATGTAGTTATTTCTAACATGTTTTTGGACCGTTGTGTAGGCGAATTCCCCATCATGGAACCATCCATCCTTTCTCCGTGCTCCGTGGTGGGAGACTTGCTCTTCGTCTTCGGCCTCGCCAGCGCCCTCGTTTCCAACCTACTCATATTGGTTGCCTTCCCTGGAACGTTGTGCCTGCACTTATCGGCGGCTGGCGGAGCCACATATGTCCTGGCTGTGTTGGTGTGGCTGTTCTTCTATCACTTCATGGTGCGCCCGCGGTCGAAGACCAGAGGGTGCAGCATCCCTGAGCAGGACTCTGCCGCTTCCTTTCGTCCGCTTCCATCTGAACCTTGTTCCTCGCCTTCTTCCTCTCCGAGGAGGCGGCGGAGGAGGAGTGGTGATGAGGCGGAATGGGGTTGGATGAGGAAGGCGGAAGCGGAGGAAGAGCGAGGGGGTGGAAGGCGAGGGCGATCACGAGGAGGACGCACACGTGGAGGAGGACGAGGATGGATGGGAGGAGGGGGGCGAGGGGGTGGGGGATGGGGATAATGTCGTAGTCTAGCATTATGTTCACGTCGATGGCTCCACGTAACTGATCACGTTCTTGCATTTGCAAGCAGTCAATCTTGCCACTTCGCAGGCTGCGGCTTGCCATCCAGAGGGTTGTAGTTATCCTGACATGGCCTTTGGTGCACGTCATTCATACTTGTTGCACGCTCGTGTCCACCAGGGCACATTACTGTTGCGCACTTTCACTTGCAGGCTGTAGCCAGTATGGATGACGGACTGACTCCTGAATATCCTGCGCACGGGTAGGCAAACCATCTTGTTCGCACGCAGTTCCATTCTCGACGCTTCGCGTAACCCCACCAGCCCATCTAGAAATGATGTCCAGGCGAGTTGCCCTGATCAGGGATCTGGAGGAGCACGCCGTGGATTGAATTGCTGGGGAAACCGTCATACCCCAAGAGGGGGAGGATGGAGGAGGAATCGGAGGAGGAGGAGGGGAAGGGGAGGGGGGAAACCACCTGACCCTGCAGAGATCCGACACCTGAGTAAGTCTTTCAAGAGATCCACGATCGCGGCGGACGGATTTCATCACAGGCATTTTCATTTGCTATGCGACGAGGCGTTACAAGCCTTCAGCCAGGTCATAGGCCTGATGACGGTGCTCGGCTCGTCCCTGTCATGGATGGGGAAGCTCATCGTAGCATTGTTTCGCAAACCTGTGTCCTGGAGAATGCCGATTGGGTTTTATCAGAGTTTGATTGGATTTCAAAAGCTGGGAGTACACAGTTCAGGATTGTGGCCTTTTCAGTGCGCGTTCGCGACGATCTTCGTCAGACGCGGTCTGGCGGCAGCAGGTTAGAGGAGACCTTGCGGCCAGTGACAAGAAGCACGTGCTTAGTTTGCCCGCGGATTCTACACAGTGCCATGAGCACGCGCAGCATCCCCAGCTTGTGCAGAGTGCTATCGGGTGGCAGGATCTTCGATATTATAGTTCTACTGTACGCACGTACGAGTGGGAGCGCATGCTTAACATGGACGGTGCCATGTCGCATGGTATGAAATCACATCAAGTTAGAGTGGCAGGTCGTAGCACGGCAACGTTCAAGATGAAGGTGCGTTGATCACCAACCGTGCACGTTGACGACGTCAGTTGAAACGAAGGGTGCGCGGACATGCTTCAGTGCATCGGGAACTTGGCGGCGGCCTTGGCTTTCCTGACAGATCACCCCTGCCAGCTTTCAATTGGAATGTGACATTCAAGCTGTAGTGTATTACTGGCACCGGCGAGGAGTTGGTGGGCGCTGCGGGGGCGTCCCTCTCAGAGTTTGCTGGATAGTATGATGTGTCGCTTGTGAACTTGGGGATCGACCGCCATCCAGGGAAACACAAAAAACGCAAACATGCCGAGCATAAACGACTCGAGAGGGGGAACAAAACAAACACATTGACAGACGAAGACCATGAGGCTCAGGTTTTGCGGGGTTAAGTCTGCTACGACGTATGGGGCGGAGGTGGTGGGATGGAACCCACATGAAATTCGTCGTCTTCGCTCTCAGGCATCAGACTTCATAAGACTCACGTGCTGCGGAACAGACCTCAATCTTGCTTTCGCGCTGGAGCCGAGCAGGGACCCGCTGCGCATTGCTGGAGCCACTTCAACGAGGTGTGCGGCAGAGTACTGGTTTGCCTCGGACCCCAAACGTCGTCCAGGTGACTGCCTGACTATTGGGGAGCTGTCCAGGATCCACAATGCCACCTCGGAATACCAGCAGGGCCGCCCAGAGGCCTCTGGGGATTCTCTCCATAGAGCCCGTGGGGGACATGCGGTTGTGGATTAAGAAAGCATCCTGGACCGTTACCAGACCAGGCAATTTTGTTATGAGGAGTGGATCCCCGTGCGTTTTGGCAGAGACTCCTTGAGCTCAGGTTGCCAACTATTTCGTGAAGGATTTGGGTGGGGAGCTGGTGTCCGTTAGCATGAACAAACATTGTGGATCCAGTGAACATCCCAAGGCCTTAGAGATTCTGGAAAGGGGTCTGTGGACAGACCCGTCGACAGCGGTTTGGAACGGGGAGAGACCCAAAATTCTTCGTCGTATTATCAAGCCGGTTATCACCAGGAGCTATGTCGCTGCCAGCCATCTTCGCAGATGGAGTTGCAAGGTGTTTTCTTGCAAGACCCCAGGTGGAGGATGCATCGACGGGGTGTGGCACCGCGCCCTCGAGTGCCCGCATTTAAAGGAGAAGCGAACGGAGTTTCTGCCCGCGAATTGGGCGCAGGCAGGATCCGAGGCTGGAGAACCCGATCGTTTCTTCAGCAGCTTATGTCTCCCCGTGCCCGACCAGATATCTGAACTTCTCTGGGATGGCGTCGGCGTTGTGAAGTATATTGGCCCAACCGACGAAGTCGTGCTCACTAAAATCGCTTCTATGTATTGTGACTGCCCCTGCTTTGGAGGGAAGTATGAGTTGGTTCCCCGTGCTGGATGGGCGGTGGCTGCCGTAGATGAGGAATGGGTTTTGTTTTGTACGGTGTCCATGGTCACGCGCTTGGGTTCCGGCCTCAGTCTGCGGTCTTCGTGGAGTGCCATGGGTTCCGGCAGGCCCTGCTTCACTTCGCGCCCGATTCTTCCGAGACCGACCCGGGTTCCAAGTTGTCATTCACGCTGATTCTAAAAAAGCCTCATGTATGTCGAGGACGTTTGGCTGCTTCAGGACACAGCCAGCTGGCAGAAGTTTGGCGGTTTCTCCTAGGTCGTGTTTTTGTCCTTCTTGGAGGTTGAAAGGTGAAGAGCCACGTCGTTGAGAACATGGGCGGTGTGGCAGGTCGATACCGTGTCGATACCAACAAAAAAGAAATGGCCGTGCCGACGGATTTGCTAAAGACGGAGCTAAACAACATCCCAACGTGCTTGGCAACGGGTTCCGATATGTGGCGATGCTAGATTGGTGGACAAAGGTTGCTGTAGGAAGTGCTAGGATGTTCCGGAAGTTCCAAGGGCCCAGTATCTGTTTGGGAAGCATGCTAGAAACGTCTTTGAGTCTCTTGACCCGAAGGTGGCTGTCAGAAGCGCACCCACCGTTCTCTGTGGAGCATTTCCATGTGGCGGTGCGTTCGGTGCGCGAAGAGTTGTCATAATACATGTGCGAAGGGGGCCTGTGCGGCCTTAGCCCCGTCCCTGCTATAGGTCAGGGGCATTGAGGTATCGCCCCCCGCAAGCGGTATGTTAAAAAAAAAACATCGAGTCGGGACTCCTGGTTGCACTGCGCATGAAATGTGGGGCTTACACCACGGGCTCAGCTCGTACATTGGGAGCCCCATGTTCGAAAGCTTTCGCCCAACACCGCAGACAGTTGTTGGCAGGTAAGACGCCGTGGCCGCGAGGCCACCACGTTTCGAAGCCGTAGCCATTGGATTGTCCCGAGGAAGGGCGAATTCTGTTCCAGGTTCCACCATGCTTGATCGTATATCATATTTTCCACCTGCCCCGCCGAGCCCGGTTCGAGAGAGTGATGAGAGAGATATTGGAAAAGGAGGGAGGAGGGAGGGAGGAGGGAGGGAGGAGGGAGGAGGAAGATCAGCAGGATGAGGAGGAGGAGGAGGAGGAGGAGGATGGGGAGGAGGAGGAGGAAAAGACCGAGCAGAATGGCCAGATGTCTCTTGGATGCCTCGCGGAGTCTCTTCGGAAATCTCTTGAGAGTTTCCTGGAGTCCTCTTAGAGCGTTTCGGGAGCCTCTTGGCGGACCCTTCCCCGGTGGAGCCTCGCGGGGCCACGTGGGATTGTTTTGGGGGTCTCTTGGGAAGCATTTGTGGGCCTTTTTGGGCAACTCTTGGGGCCTTGTCGTGTAGTCGCAGTCGACAGCTTCTCATTTCAGTATTGCTCGCAGGCGCGAGGCCAACTCATGTGCTCAAACAGCAAGTTGTTGTGTTGTCTTGTCATGGGTTGATACTCGTTCGTTTTCTGCCCTCACGTAGCATTATCAGTATTGTTGTCACCGGGTGCCGCTTGACTGTGATTTAAGAGAGCCGTCAGTTGCGCGTGCGCCGTGGTCATGTGTCACAGGGGCAGTGTTCGTGTGAGTGTCACATCGGTAGTATTTGGGCAGCTTCCCGCCCAACTGCACAGTGGAAATGCGAGCGTGAAGTACTACAGTGATTCCGCGGTGGCCAGGGCCTACTGTAGTACAGCATGTTGGTATCCAGTGGCGCTGCTGCGCATATCCGCCACCGCTCTGCGGAAGAGGGATGGCAGAGCGCTGGGACTTAGCAGCAGGTGAACGCAGCTTGAGCTCGATGCGCTGTTGCCCTCAACTCTTCAATCCGCCTTCAGCGCACCTGACTGACCAAATGGACCCCGACGCACCAACCGCCACACGGCGCGGCGGCGGAGGATGTCTTAAGCTACGGGGGTGTCCCCCGGCGCCTCGACGGGCTTGGTTGTGGTCGCATTTTGTCACGCGACCTTGCTGTGCTGGGGGTTGCATGTTGCACCAATCCTTAACTACCCCCTCAACCTACATGTGACTGGGCTTTCATACGACTTGATCTGTTCGGTGTGCCTTTCCTCCTGAGAAGTCAGAACGCAACGTCAACTCAGCCGATCCAGAAATCGGATGCATCATCATGATTTCTCTGTGATTTGACCCTCGCATACCATGCTTTCGATAGGATCTGAGCAGATAGCGGGGGGGTGCTTGGGAGCACATGTGTGGTATGTCCCCGTAGACATTGTCAATCGGGTTCCAGTGGAGTTCAAAGTTTGTCGCCACAGCATCCCTCCTTTTTGGGGCAAGACGGCCCATCGCTAGATTCGGCTTTGACCGCCAGATCCACATTCCGCACGTGCGCGCTCGAGGATGGTGCGCCCCACGTCCAGATAATGGTGCGCCCCAGGACAGTCCCGTGTGCAGCCCGTGCGTGCCCGCTCGACGGTGTTGCGTCCCAGGTCCAGACAACGGTGAGTTCCAGGATTGTTCCAAGTCCAGTTTAGCACACCGCCCACGCACTTCGTACCTTGTGGGCTCCCAGCTTTCGGCTGAGGCCCAATTCGGCATACTTCTCACGCAGTGTGTGGCCCATGGCCTTCAAGGGCTCTCTGCTAGCCGCCAAGACAGCTCAAGGGAGCCACACTTCGGCACACCCCAGTTGTATTTCGTGCGCCATGCCGTGCCCCGTGGACCCGCAGATGCCCTCAGTTGGCCTTCAAGACCGCCCAAGGGATCCCTGATTTCGGAGACGCAGAGGTTGGTACCAACGCCGACATGGGCGGCTGCCCATAGGTAAAATGACCCCGACCTCGGCGATGGTGGTAATACTCGGGCCTCTATCAGATGGCCGAAAGACTGCCGCCAGCACCAGCACCAAGATTGAGGATCGTCTTTTCCCCTGCGGAGACATCCCCCTGTCACCTATGTTGGTGTTGGTGCCACGGTCCCATGGCCGTGCGCTCCACCCGCCGCCGGCTTGCTGCGTTTCTGCTTGCCTGCGTGCCCACCAAGGTGGTCTTCCGCGTCACGCCCACTCGGCGCCTGCGGTGTTTGTAAAGGTCCCCGCGCGGCCTTGCAGCTGCGACCGTTTAGCCTGCCGCCTTGACGTGTTGTGAACTTGCCAGGAGGGGTGCTGCGGCGGACCGCGCGAGACGGCCGATCTGACAGCGCAAGAGAAGAACGTCAAGGGCCAGACCGTGCAGGAGATAAAGATGCACTCTGTGTATTCCTGGTTGAATACAAACCCGGCGTACGTGTTGAAGTGCAAGTATTTTTTCACAGATGCCGATGGCAAGGACATTTGAGCACATGGCGGAGAAAGAGAGAGAGGGGCAGGATCAGATGCAGGGGAAGTTGTATGGTGGCAACGGAGGCGCAGCACGGAGAGGAGGAAGAGGGGGAATGTTTCCGCACCCTCGAAAAGTTGTCGACAGAAACTGAGATCGGATGTAACATCAGTGCCATCGTCGGTGAACTCTTGCTGGCAGTGCCCTCCAGGTTCGTGCTCCCGCCCCAGCGTTGCAACCAGCGCGCGCCACGGAAACGGCATCACCTCTTCGGGAGTGGGCCGCATCGACACTCGCTTATGATGTGACCAGTAGGGCGTGGTACTTCCAAGAACCCCCAGGAACCCCCCTCAAGGTTTTTTTTTTAGGGGGGGGGTTGGGGGTTTCTCTCCTGGGCTGCCGAAAACCCCCTCGAAAACCCTTTTTGGAGTGTTTCTTTGTTGGGGAGGGGGGGGATGGATGAAGGAGTTCTCCCGTGCTCCCGAGAAATCTTCACAAGAACCCCCCTCAAGGTTTTTTTGAGTGGCGTCTCCGTCCCCCCAGGACCCTCCCGCAAAAAAAAATAGAGGTGGGTGTTTGCGAGGCGTGTTGTGTGGCCATGCCGGGCACCCGAGAAACCCAAATGAAAACCCTAATTTGTTGTCTCCCCCACCCCATGAGCCTCCCCCAAGAAAACTTCCCTTGAGGGTTTTTTGTTTGGTGAGTGGTTTGGGAGGGTTCTCCTGGGCTCCCTAGGAAGCCTCCCAAACAATTAATTGAACTTGTAGTTTTCCGGGTGTGTTTTCTGGCCCCCCGAGGACCTCTCCCTCCCAAATCCTTTTTTTCGGACGGGTTTTAAATTGTTGGGGAGCGGGGTTCCCCTGGGCCCCTGTGAAAACCCCCGAAGGTTTTTGTGGGAGGGGGTGGAAGGGTTCTCCGCCCCCCCCAGGAGCCCCCGACTCCCGCCCTTGGAGGACAGGGGATTGTAGAGTATGCGGTCTGTTGAACCCTTTCTTCAGTCGTCTTTGTTTTCTACTTCTCTCTGTTTTCTGTTCGTGTGTGTGTGTGTGCGTGTGCGTGTGTGTGTGGTTGGTGTGTGTGTGTGTGTGGGTGGTGTGTGTGTGGGTGGTGTGTGTAGGTGTGTGTGTGTGTGTCGCTGGGCGTGGTAGTTCCTATTGGGATGCCAGGAGATCGACTGGCGTGGTTTGTAGCACAGCCGGTCGTCACGATCCCAATGGGGGGTATAGTCGCGGGGCAGGATGGCAGTACGGTGGGGCGGTCCTGCCTGGCGCCAGGGGGTTCGTTCCCCCGAGCGTCGCTCCCGCTGCCACTCCCAGCAGTTACCGGGCTGTGGTGCTTCGGAGGTGCGGGGGGTCTTGCGCACGGGCTCCTCATCGTCTTCGGCGGGCGCGCCTCCGTCGGACTGCTCTGCCTGTAGCGCCGGCACGCGTCCT